GACTACCATCACATCAGCCCACTCTTCAGAGTTAACTGATTCTACGATGGGGGTAATCCTGGTCCTTTTCATGCCCCGATCCGACAATCTAGGGAATAAGGGCTCAGAGTGCCCCAACTAGATTTGGGATTGCCTTAACACTCGGGTGATTACCGGCTCTTGACGGCCTTGGGGCCGTAATTCAGACAGGTATGGCACAAGACGGCTTTGGGGCCATGGGTCAATTCTGATTGGCTTGTGACAGCCTTAGGGCCATATCTCCTTCTGTTGGGGCTCAAGACAACCTTAGGGCCGTAATTTTGACGAACTGGGTTCATCTCCTCGAACTTCCACGACAAAACATTGAACAACACCACTCACTTCGACTCCATTGCAATTCATATGACCAACTTTATAACAATTAAAACAACTTCTTAACTTTTTAAAGAATTTTCCATTTTTTTGTCTTCTTTTTTTGTTTCCTCATTATTTTCTTTATTATCTTTTCTCTTCTTATGATTGGGTCTAGGATACCCTTTTGGAATAGCCAAATTAGCCTGTTGATGGGCTCTTTCATTTTTCTCTTTGGCCCTATCATTCTCTTCCATCCTAAGATGTCATCTTAAATCATTAAAGGTGTATATGGTTCTATTGTGGCACAAGTTTTTCTTACGGTCTTTCCATGAATTAGGGAGGTTTTCTATTATCCTCATGATTTGATGACTCTCAGATATGGGTTCTCCATAACCGGCAAGTTGGTTAGCTATTATAATCATGTCATCAAAAATTCCAGCACCGATTGGTTCTCTCTCATTTTATGTTGGTTATATCTTTCATAGAGTTCATGCTTTGCCATATAATTGTCCTCGGTGTGCCTTTTCTCAATATCCTCCCATAAGTCTTTAACACTGGTGTAAGGTTCAAAGACCTTATGCAATCTATCACTATGGCAATTCCAGATAACGCCCTTATATGTAAAATTATTATTTTTCTATTTTGTATATCGCTGTCTCTCTCTAAATGTAGAGTCATCATCAGGTTCAAATATGATTTATTCTTCGATTACATACAACAAACCTATAGTATGCAGCAAATAAGATACTTTACTTTTTCAAAGTGAGAAATTATAGCTATAAAGCTTATCAATCTTCACTGAATTGGTCAATACGGCTCTAGGATTAGCCATTTTCAATGCAAATTGAAAATCCCTAAGCTTAGATACCAATTGTTCGCCCAAATACAATGAATCTTTTTTGTTTTAAAAAATAAATAGATCTAAAATAACATGAAAGTTGAGTTTTGCACTCAAATAGAATATTAACGAACACATGGCAGCCAACTCTTATCAAAACACCCACAATAAGTTATAAATTTCTTTGGGACTCAAGAGGATGAATAAAAGTCACTAACCTTATTATCCACAAAGAATTAAGATCCAAAATCAATTGTAATTATTCTAAACCTCTTCTAAGCAAACCCCAATATAATTTCTAGCAATCATGAACTCATTAAAACCCATCTAAATCATTCCAACGAAATAAAATGATGCCTACTAATTTTTTCCTTGCTCATACAATCTTTCTCAACCTTCAAGTACTACTTTCAGATGCAAAATATGAAGAAAAAGTTGGAACAAACTTGCCAAATTTGTATAGATTTGCAGGCATAAGTTTGTAGCTGTTCTAGAGAGAGTAACTTGATGAGAATGGATTTTCAGCAATGTATTGCACAAAGGAAAGACAAATTTGCTGTAAAACAATGGTTAGCAAATAATCTTGAGAGAGAAACTTCTGCGAGATGAAATACGGTGTTGGGATTTATCCTGTGACACTGGAGGGCTCTCACAAAGATGAGAGGTACATCCCTTACACCCATCTCACAACGAAGCGTAAGAGAGAGAAAACGGTTTTAGAGAGAAAAAGAGAGCTTGTGCTAGGTACCCTTTCATTCCAAAACCATTTCCCATATATATAGCTACAAAACATCTATGGTTCCATACCTGAATGACCCATTGAAAAATATAAATGAAGAAATAATGAAAATATAACTAGTCCTTTTTGAAAATATATATATATATATATATATATATATGGGGTTGAGATGCTGTAAAATTTCAATAAAAAAGTCAAAAGAGTACAAATTATATACCATGGCATGCTTTTAACTTACTAGATCAATCATGTACATTCTCAAAAAAATACCCAAATTGCCTTTGTTTAGTGTTGGGAAGCCAGAATAGTTAGAGGTAATTCATTAATTTTATCCTATTATCATTCGTTTAAAGCCTTTTTGGGATAAAATGATCAACGTACTTATAATTATTTGAGCTTCCCTATGCCAAATAGGGGCAATTTGAAAGTATTTCAACAAAGTTTCTTGAGGATGTACCTAATATAAAAATTTAAAAGCGTACCCCGAAATGTAATTTGTAATTTTTTGATTCTTTAGTGATATTTTAATGGGTTTCAACCTTTTTTTTTTTTTTTTTTGATATTTTTCCTTTTTTTGAGTATTAACTTAATTCTTTTTATGTATTTTTCAAATTTACATCAATGTATACAAAGTGCTCTACACAAAATCTACCTCTACCACCCCGAGACACTATAGAATTGGCCATTTATTGTCTTAGATATCGGTTACTTAATTTTCTAGGAATAGAAAATTTAAAAATACACAAAATGGAAATTGTTCCGTTCTTTGACCCGCATTGTCATTTCCATTGCTAGAATCACCCATGTTGGCAGAACCAATTGATTTCACCATGTCGAACCAAGGTTGCATATACAAACCTACACTTTTTTTTTTTGGTACGATATTTTTTTTTTTTTTATGTATACCCATATTAAGAAAGTGGTTCACATATTACTTTAGTAGTACACAGCTTTGTAACCCTATAAATTGAAGGTTTTGCTTACATTCATGGGTTTTAAGGCCCAAATATACGAAATACAATTTTTATTAGAGCAAAGTTGTATCTCGATCGACTTTTTTATGACTCTGCCGTAAACAATTTTCAAAAATCTCTTTCGATCGATGTTTTTTGTTACTCAAGATAAGTTTTTTGTTTTTTTCTGTAAGGTATTCTTCAGCAAAAGTTCCTTCATAGTATTTTCAGATCTGAATTACTTAATTACTTTCTACGTTTCCGTGTCTCTTGCTTTGGTATTTGTTTTCATCTCTTGCATCGATATATTTTGTTTTTCTCGATCCATCCCATGTATTGTTTGCTTCCTTCTGGATTTGTTACTTCCTCTCTCATCTTAACACCTTGCTTCTCCCCATCGTCTTCTCTCTTCTTCCCTCATCTTCAATCGGTCTTCCACAAGGTCTCCAGAGTTGGCAGCAATATGAACACTGCAAAACTCGTTCTCGGAAGCTTGCCAAGCTGGCTAGAGCCTATCAATGGCTACCCCTATCTCACCTATCTTGGTGCAAACTCCTCCGAGAAAGGTGCAAAAGGATTCGTAATTGATTTCTTAATGGGGGGTGAGTCTATGCTGCAGTGTCCAAGACAGCTGCTGGTCCCATTGAGCATGTGAAGCTTTTGATCCAAAACCAGGATGAGATGATTAAGACCGGTCGGCTCTCAGAGCCCTACAAGGGTATCGGAGACTGCTTTGGCTGAACAATCAAGGAAGAGTGTTTCCTTGCGCTGTGGAGATGAAATACTGCAAATGTCATCCGTTACTTCCCTACCCGGGCTTTGAACTTTACTTTCAAGGATTACTTCAAGATTTGATTATTTGTTTATATGTCGAGTCGTGTTTTGACTCTGATCTATTTTGGATCTTATTGTTATCAACTTTGAATTTAAAATCCAACCATGCTTATTGTTCCGCCGCTGATTTTTATTGGCTCTTCCAAGTGCCTCATGTTTGATGATTGAATTTCTTGATCTGGTTTGATCAAGTTTTCCGTCACTCGATCAAGTTTAATAATTGAATTTTCTAGTACTCAATCTTATTGGATGATGGAGTTCTTTTTTTACTCCATCTTGTGTTCTGGAGGCCTGTTAATTTATTGTTACATGAAACTGCCATGTTCGAAGTGTGTTTTTGAGGATCTAATTTATAATTGCTCAAGCTTCTTCTATTCGTATATTGTTTCTAAAGCCTTTTTCAATTGTCCAAACTTGAATTTCTCTCTCTTAACTCATCTTGAGTTTGAGGGGGGGGTGTAGAAATTATATAAGCCTGCACTTGTCGTAGCCCTATAAATTGGGCCCTTGTTCACATTTCGATAAGCTTTGTAATACATCTTTCATCGGGACTTAAGGGACTTAAAAGGCCCCAATATACAAAAATAATACAATTTGTCACAAAAACTCCATCATGGGTGAAAGAATTTGTCTTTACAAAAAGAATTTGTCTTTACAATAAGAAATAAAGAGAAAACAAAGTTGTGGATACGTAAATTTTGGGATATAAATATGACCATTAAAGATGGAATAAAAGATCACAGAAATTTGTAGATAGTGAGAGATAATTACTTTTTTTTTGGAGATCAAAAGAGTAGACACGAGAATCGTCCCAGTCCATGACAATCAGTAGGGGTCGATGCCATATCTATACAAAACTCGGAATTGGTCTGACTCAATGAAAATCAACTGGTTCTACCAGCGGATTTCCTAATTTTTGGTCAAGAAACTAATTTGACAACACTTTAAATAAAATGTGAGTTATTTTTGGTTGGCTTTCATACTATCCATTGCTTGTTGTAAAAATACGGATGTGCTAATATTGATAACTTGGCATGCTTATGGACTTGTACTTGGATTAATTTAGCTTGTTTTGGCCAAAGAAGTCAATCTGGGAGGTTCCAGCCAGAGTTAAGCTCAAGCAAAGCCCAAGTCTGTTTTCCCATGCAAGCCAAGCTTGAACATGAAACTATATTGGAGAATGAATCGCATGGAACATATCACTAATTCAAAGTGTACATATTACTCAAAGTGTATTAATGGGATGGTCCTATAATCATATACTATTTCCATGACTTATGACCTATAAGTTGTAGCATCCGGATCCACATAAAAAAGCAGCCCTGTAATATTGAACATTATAATGATATTCACATACTTATAAAAATATAGTGATCGAGCATAGCAGGTGCATACGTGCATGAGCATACACACACACAGTCAATCGCCCCTATACTATCAAACAATATAATTATATTCACATACTTATAAAAATAGAGCGATCAAGTGTTTACATAGCAGGTGCCCACACGTGCGCATACACACACACACAGTTTCATGGGAGATCAACCAGACTTTGCAGATACCTCTCCACATTGTCCAAGCCACAGAGCTGCTTCACCACATCCATTGTTGCAGGAGTGTCCATTCTAAACATGGCCGAAGTTGATGAACATTTTTCATTGGAGCTATTGTTATAGGACCGAAGCTCTTTTCTAGCCTCTTTGATGGCCTCCCTAATAGCACAGTGAACTGAAACTGCCAATAGTAATGGTGGCTCTCCCGATGCTTCAAAACCATTTCATAAATCAAAACACAATTACAATTTGTTGAGGCGAAATTGTTATTAAAGAAAATTGCAAAAGAAGAAAAAAGAAAAGCAAGTAACATATATTAATGAACTGATGTAAGCACCAGCACACGTTTGTATGTGTAACTCTACATATACATATACGACATGCATATATGCATTCATATTTCATAATATGTCCTCTATGTAAAAATATCCCTAGATGCAATTACTAATTCACTACAGGCTCTTGTAAAGAAAGTTGTGGAAATTTCATGAAGGACATAGATCCACTTAAAAAAAATCCAGAAGCTAGAGCTGCTTTATAACATCACAAATTATTTTACAAATACTTCACTTTGAGAATGCTAACTCCCAATTAAAATGAATGGCATCTTTCTACAATAATCCTTCCCTCTACTTGTGAGTATGAAAGAGAACATGAAAAGTAGCTTATTAATTTTCTTTTAACAGAAATATACAGAAACCAAAGCTCATACTGAGTTACTGAAAAATGCAGTTGAATTTGTTAAAAATCTGAGTTCATAAAATGACTGACCCTTGGATGAGAGGACACGGTTTTCGTGGTGACCACTGCTCAGTATCTCAATGTTAAATTGTTTGGGTATGGTGTCAACATTTGGGATCTTATATGTCCATGTCCCATCAGATGTAACCATTCCATCAGAGTTCACAACATGCTCTTCGAGAACGAAGAACCCAATTCCTTGGACGAAAGCTCCTTCAATCTATAAAATAAAACATCATGACATTTACCTTTAGGAACATGTAGTGACTTGTATGGAAAGAGAAAAATACCTTTAGCAACATGCAGTGATTAGTATGGATATCAGGAACAATTCCTCAGACTGACACACATACCACAGAGAGAGAGAGAGAGAGAGAGAGAGAGAGAGAGCAAAACTTCGCTTGAAAACAAGAACAATGTTTAAAGATCAACGATACTAAGTAGAACATGAATGTAGGGAAGATGCACATGAAAACATCCATAAGAACATGATCCACATATGAAATATGTACACAAAATTGTTACATGTATAAAAATTCATGCCTTGAAGCTTCCTATAGTATTTTAATATCACCCCATCCATTAGATATGTCAAAAGGGTGCAGGAGTAGAGTTTGCCCTCTGCTCAAAGCGATAGACTTTGAACAGAGGAAGACACACCCCAGCCATCCCCTTTTGAAGTCATACAATTGGGTGACATTGAAGAACTGTATGAATACAGTGCACTCAATGTAGATAAACCCTCTTTGAGAGTGAGTGTGCATGAGAGTGCATGCATGCAGCACATGTATAATTAGTAGGACAACCTGTCCAAGATCCACGGCAGGGTTCAGGCTCTTCCCACAGTCATAGATGATATCAGTTTGTAAAATCGTTGTAGCTCCAGTAAGCAGGTTTATCTCAACCTGCATTGCATTCGTTTCATATGATTAGCCATAATGTCTAGCCTTAAAAGGTCATAAAGTAGACCAAGGTTAACACCCAAGAAAGATTAGGACAAGCATATATACCTCACTTGCAGCTGCACCAAAATTTAAATATTGTTTTGAACTTGAATCAGGAACCCAATATACACTAGCAGACATGTTCACTGATTCTAGATATGCCTGTAAATTGGACACAGAAAGAAGTTACCACGCTGATTTCGATCCCCTATTCTTAAGACAAAGTGATTTTCTTGTGGAAGGAGATGTAATTATGAAAACAATTACATAATGAGAAGCAAATACTCATGAAAGGTTAACAGATTGTTGAAATAAGCAACCAAATTCCCATGATCTGAAACAAAATACCTGGCACTATGTATCACTTGCTTGGTCTCCTTAATTTTATTTCTAATTCTTCTATATTCTCAACGCATGTCATTATCATTACATATCTAGTTATAAATTAGTACTTATTTTGCATGAAATACAATTCAAAGAACCATTGACAACGACAATTTGAATTTTTTTCTCTCACCTGACTAACCAGAGCATCCCATGAAACTCCATTTGTTTTCTCCATCATATTCAATTTCACTGGTGAAAGTCTCTCAACCAAAACATCACAAGCAACCCTCGCTGCCTCACAACTGGACTCTGATGTGGTGCTCCCTCCTGTCAACCCACTTTGTGCCATACTTATTGTATCAATTTGGACAATCCTTACCCTCTCCATAAGTTCTTCTTTTCCTTCCTCCCATAACCGACCCAGGGCAAATGCAGTCATTTGCTTCACTTTGGTCCAAAGTCCCTGTCCCAACTCAATACCTCCAACCTCAACAACTATTGAACCATCGTTTAAAATGCTCACTTTACCCGGTGTTGGTCTCACAGTTACTTCATAAGTAATGGGCACAAGAGACATTCCCCTTTTTCTCCATCTATTTATATTGTTAAACTCTCGAATTTCTTCGGGTTTCTTGTTAAGCCTCAAAGATGAATCCAACTTCTCCAAAGTCAAAGGTAAAGTGTAACCAAAATTGTCACCTGCACTGGCTCCATAGAACAACTTGAGGCTCTCAAAATTATGTAGGTTCTTTTTTCGAATGGAGTTAGCATCCATAGAGAGAATTGACGCCACATGTTCAATGATGGTTTCGGCTAAGAAGGTTCCTTGAACTTCTCCAGGTGCTCTCATGGCTGATTTGCTTGGAAAATTGGTTTTGCAAAGCTTAATGTTCAAAGAAAGGCACCCATAATTATATTTTTTTAGTGAAGTGACAAAAGTATGGCTGAGGAGGGGGCTAAAATCAATAGAATATCCAGCATCAAGAAAACAATCTACATGTAGGGCAGTGATTTTCCCATTGGCTTTGAATCCAACGGTGTAGACTATCTTCATTGGGTGCCGGCCTCCAGTTATTATCATATCTGTCTGGCGATCAAGATACATGCGCACTGGGCGGCGTAATTTGTATGCTGCAATTGCACACGCAGCTGCGACCTAAATAAAGAGAAACAATTCTTTTTCTTATAGACTCATAATGTAATATGTTTCCTTAATAGAATAGGATACCAGGTTCAAATTATATATTAAGGGGATTTTTGTGACTTTCTAAAATTCATGAGTGCATGAGTTGCATTGGTTACCAATGCTAAATGATTATTCCTAATCTTCATTAAAAACCAATTTCTTTGCAATTAAGATTTAGTGAATACTCACCTGAATTGCTCTCAAGGCCTTCCCACCGAAACCCCCTCCCACTCTTCTTGTAATGATACGTACATTATGCTGTGGAATGCCAAGGAATTTGGCAATTGCAACCTGGGCATACTCATCTAATTGACATGAAACATAAACTGTTATGCAATTATCTTCATCAGGAATAGCTAGAGCTGTCTGTGTTTCCATATAAAAATAGTATTGTGATCCTGTTTCAACCTGTAGATCACCAGGAAAATCGGTAAACCACACACCTACCCACATAAAAAATACACGTGTACTCATACATGCATACACAAGCATGCAAAAACACATCAAACACTCACCATAAATATATACATTCATCCGTATTACATACATAGACACAATCTTTCCCACATATAGACACATATAAGCACACACTCAAACATACATAACATAGATGCATACATGAATATGTATATGTTCATATTACATATATCCATACATGCATGCATGCATTCATACATCTACATTTGTGCGTGTGCATGTCTTTGTTATGGTTTAGATGTAGGTATGCGCAATGTGGTTGGACTCAGCCTGGCTGGCCACATCCTGTGCCCTACCCATCCGCTTATTCAGGCTGGGCCCATCCTGGCACGGTTAGTGTCAGGCCTGAACCCGGCCCTAACTTTTAATGCTGGTCTAGATTTTGGTCTAGTTAGACCGTCAATTTTAGATTCTGGTTCTTTCTAGAGCCAAACCCAATCAGTAATATTTTTATTTTTAAGAGACAATTACATATTAATATATATAATATAATAATTATAAGTTCAACATTAATCAAGCGATTGCCTAGTTGTCTAGCACTAATGATATTAGAACTTGGTTTTGCCCAGGATTACAACCTACTAAATAACCAGAACATCCTTAAAAGCTTATATTTTAAGAGTGTCTAAATTTTCTTATAATTGGGCCTGGCTGAGGCTTTAACTCTCAGGCTCAAGCCCAGCCAGATTAACAATCAGGCGTCGATCAAAGGTCTAGCCTGGCCTAGCTGGCCAGAATTTCAGGCCAGAAGTCATCCTGAGTTAGCCAACTCAGTTGGCCCAAGCAAAACTTTAGTTGGTATATACAGTACGTCTACATGTACATATATCTATAGGGATATACAAGAAACCAATGGACAATGAAAGACAATAGTCCACTGCAGTTATCAATCAAGGGACAGTCGTACAGGAAGATCAGGACCAACAATTCAGTTCATATGCTGTCATGGAGGATCTCACTATCTCTCTATCATTCATTTGGATGGTGATAAGCCCAGTGAACTATGATTTTCAAAGTCCATTGAATCATATTACACCGTCCCTTTGTCCATACAAATACATACACACATAAAATGAGAGGAGACACCTTTGAAGAAATTATCTTGTGATCTGCTTCAGCCATCCCTTTTGAAAAGTCCCCCACTTGCTTTGGAGTGAGAACTGGGGGGATCTCGAAAAAGCTAGACCTTTCAACTGCCTCTTCTATGGATAGAATAGGTGGCTCCATATCTTTTGTATCATAGTGCACCTTCACTTGATCAGCACCAATTTTAGCACATCTCCATGTCTCCGCTATCTAAAAATTAAAGGTCAGTTAAATAAAATCATATAAAACCACTTTCTTAGAAGATCAACAAAAGAGTAAGTCATCCTATCACAAAACCAAGGCCTAACAGAATATTTTTACGGTTGACAAATTACAGAAACTATAATATAATGCAATGGAGAATGAAAACCATTATCCCCCAGGGATATCAGCTTCCAATCAAATAATAGGTGGCAATGGAACATTGGATCCTCTGTTGTGGTCATGTCCTGTTCTTGTGGATCCCAATATCCCCCTCTTTGTCCGTCATTTCATTGGACAATGACAACTTCATTGGACTATTTCCATGGTACATTTGATTAAAGTACTCTCCTTATAAGTAAATAAAATGAAATAAATAGAAAAAATATAAATTACCAAAACTCCAAGTGGTTGGCCAGCAAACTCAGTAAGACCATCGGCAAACACCGGTTCGTCTCCAAATTGCGTTCCAACGCTTATATTTTCACCTCCTTTTGGTATATCTTTAACTGAAACAAAGGAAATTACTCTTGGAGAAGTTAACACAGAATCAACCTCAATATGTTTTATGCGTGCGAAAGGTTTTCTGCTATATACAAATGCTCCGTGAAGGCAGTCCTTTGGGGAAGGGATGTCATCAACATATACAGCTTCACCTGCATATTTCCATTTAGCATAGAGTCAATGATTTTTGCAGATTACCAGAAATTTAGGATTCCAGATTGGGCTGTGTAATGGCCAGCATTGAGCCCTTTGACCACCATATCATGACAAAAAATTCTATTAAAAGGAAAAAAAAAGAAAAAAAGAACAAGATTCTATGGTCAGTTTTCTGAAAGTTACAGCCACCTGAATTGCCCCTTCCTACCAAAAGTTCTCACTATTATTTTGGGGCAAGTGAGGTGAAGATTGAATCTAACCATAGATTGTGTTCCTTACCACCCTAACCACTGATCCACGATGTCAAACCGCTATTACCCAATTTTCTTTCCCATATCTTTGATTAGGACACATATTCATTTTTAATACATTGGAACATTAGATTTCACTAATCTCAAAATAACAAGTGATGCCTAGTTTCCAAAATTGAGACGACAGTTTTTAGTCTATCCGTTAGTTGTATCAGAAGTACCTGTACATGCTCACTCTAGCGCTTCATCAGTGATACCAGTAATAGGCCTAGGTCCCTTAGAGAAAAGGACCCAAATTCTATGCTGCTACCACTCTCTCTCTCTCTCTCTCTCTCTCTCTTCCCATTGCAAAGGAGCCGAAAATTACCAGAAGCCTGAAGCTCAGCTGCAACTTTCTTAGCAGGATAACCGACAGGATGATAGTCATTATGGATTTCCACCAATTGTTTTGAGATTAGAACTGATGTTGGTTTCTTCTCATCACCATTGCGGCCAGAGAACCCATTATCAGATGAATTAATTCTAGAAGCAGAATTAACATGGCCATTAATGGAGTTTTTCTCATTATTAGGTCCTTCTACACATAATCTTTTATTGGATCTTGCAAAATTCTCAAAGAGTGGAGAGAGAAAATCAAAAAGAAAACCAACAGCCAAACTGGACCTGTAGTCAGCCTTTGGGGTTGCTTCTTTAGAAACCACAGATAATCTAAGAATTTGGATGGCCTCTAACAAAACAGTGGGAGAAACTGATTTTCCTTTCAAATACTCTTCGGCCTTCTTTGCTCTTATAGCACGTTTAGTCCCATAAGCTCCAAATGCCAAACTAAGATGACCCAAAACAAGCTCTCCTGTGAATTCATCAGCCATGACCTCAGCAAAGAATGCAGCATTTACATAGGCCAATGCACCTCCCATAGGGTACGGAGCAGCCCTGTAAGTCTCAAAGAACAATTCAGTCATACTCTTTGGCTCACCTGAACAAATAGTCTCAGAGACAGGGTATACTTCAGTTTGATCTTCAGTCTTAGAGAGGGAATGGGTTCGATTCCAGCTTGGTATTCGAACACTTACGAGCAAAGTTTGAGGATCACATGGTGGTCGCTCAAGGAATTCCTCCAAAGTTAGAAAGCGAGTCTCTGTTGGAGTTTGAATTTTTATAGATGAACTAGCTCCGAGGAGAATGGTGACTATATCTGATGGGAACTCATTCCTCTGAGCCATGATCAGGTTACCACCCAAACTCGCCATGTTTTGGATGAAATTTGACGCAACCATGTTTAAGTGTTTCACAATTTTCTTGAAAACCAAGTTGGGTTCTACGCTAGTTGAAATCTCTTCTTCCATAGCTTCAATTACCTTAGAAATTGTCACACATGCCCCTATTTCTATCCCTTCTGTGTCTCTCTTAATTATCAAAAGCTCGGGTATATGTCTTATATCAATATACTTCTGATAATTCTCCTGGTTTTTGTAAAAGCCAGCACTGGTATTACCTGCAACAAGCTTCACTCTCTTTCCATTCTCAACTTCTTCTGATCTCATAATATTCATAAGCTCTTCAACACTAGAAGGTGTGATCCAATATCCATGTTCTACTTCATCCCATCCATTCTTATACACAAGATTCAGTTTTCTCTCTGAAGATTCATCACTTGGAATGATTTCATTCTTGAGGAATTCAGGAAAAGTACAAACACTATATGGATCATAAGGAGGCAATTTGCATATGTTTAAAGTCTCTCCTTTTTTGCAAAAGGAATTTAAGCCAAGATCCTCCATTTCTACATCTCGGCAAAAGCTCTTACAAGTATCAATAATGGGTCTATAACCAGTGCACCTACATAAGTTTCCAGCTATGGCTCTCTCAGCTTCAGAGACTGTTAGTTTAGAAAACCCTGCTGGCGGTTCAGGCCTAGAGCTTTTATTGGCTTTGGAAAGAGAAGAGTACAGAGAAATACACATTCCAGGGGTGCAAAAGCCGCACTGAGAAGCATGGAATCCTGCAATTCTCTGGTGAATTGAGTGGAAACCATCTCTCTGGTTTCCAAGACCTTCACTTGTAGTGACTGAACAATGATTTAGACTACACAAAAGTGTGAGGCATGAGCTCACAGTAAACTCTTCTATGTCTTTGGTTGTGGGATCATACTTCGAAATGAGCACAACACAAGCTCCACAGCCACCTACAACAAACAAAATGGTGTAAACAGGTAACTTCTTTTATTACATGAATTATCTTTACAATATGGATGCAGTTTTGATGCATCAGACACCTCTATTCAACTGCTTCCACCCTTCAAAATTACTAAGGTTCAATAATCTCGAACATGGTGATCACGAATATAAAGGAAAAAAAAAAAAAGACTTTTGAAATTCAAAAACGACATTTTTTGAGATTGTTTTTGCACTGTTCATTTACATGTTCATAGAGGCAACCATTTTCATTGTAAATGGACAATGTGTGAGGGAACACAGTTCAAATACTCAGGATTACGATATTACATTTTCCCCTGATGCATCAAATACTTTCTTTTACAAATTTGACGTGACTCTATTTCATGAATCAACTTCTTTTCCAGCTATTGGCAAAAGCTTGAGTATTGTTATAGGTTATTATTACCCATTAAGAGTTTCTATTTTTGTGACTGCCACAAAAGCAGGGGAGGATAAGAATCAGATATTGCAACCATAATGTGCAAATGGCGCCTAATATATTATGGGTGCGGTTTGTATAGAACCAAGGCTCTAAACAATCAAAGTAAAGCACACCTTCAAATAGTGTCGAGAAATGTGGTTTCAATATTGGAAATCTCTGTGATAGCCTTAAAAATATCTATATTCATCTCTAATTATAAAATTTAAAGCTTTAAAAATAATGTAGATCGAGCAGATCTATGAAAAGTTCAAAATCTTAAAAATTGACGTTAAAAAAATGTATTACAAGATGCACTATTTCCAAAACTTGAAATCCATTTTTTTCTCATGTCCATGCATCTTGATGTCGAAATGATCTATTTGACGATATTTGGGCATCAAAACAACCTCTTTTAGTGAAGTTTTTGAGGTGGGCTCTAATTTGATTGTTTAGAGCCTCAGCTCTAAATAAACTTTTCCCATCTCTTATTCTAAATTCACATAAATAATTTCTTAAAAACAAAGTTTTGTATTAAAAACGATCAGGTTAGTGGATGGATACCTCAGCATAATGTCCCGCCCTTCCTTCCCACCATTATCATCTCAAAAAAAAAAGAAAAGTTATAAAAAAGGTTACATACTACTCATATTACTTTCAGGGGTGCAGTTGGCATACGGATGCATCCGTAGCTATAGAGGTAAGGTGCGCCTTCAAATTTTATCATGGCATATAATTTGATGTAAAATGTTCTTAGGTTTTATCTTAAAATCTATTTTTATACCTAATTATAAAATTTTAAATTTAAAAAATAGTTAAAATCAAGTAGATCTATAATCATATGAAAATCTTGAAAATGGACGATGTAGATAACATGTTGTAAAATGCACTATTTCTGAGACTTAAAATCTTTTGATTTTCATAGTTATCGAGATGATCTTTTTCAACATTAAAACTACCTTTTCCGATGGATTTTTGTGGTGCATCCGTAGCTCTACATTATAAGGTTGCAACCTTATGTAATTTTTTCCTACTTTCAGTTTAAAAATAGGCAATTGAGGAGCATTATCCAATCAGGCCCATGTCTTAAACCCACATATATAAAAAGCCTTGTTTTTAGTTTTCTATTGTAAAAAAAATATACTCATATTACTTTCAGTTTGAAAATAGGCAATTGAGGAGCATTATGCCATCAGGCC